CCGTCGCCATATTTGCATGTCCCCTCGAGCACATGGCTGGCGCATAACGCCGTCGCCATATCCACGCGTCTCCCCGAACACGTGGTCGTCAACCCACGCCGCCGCCATATTTGCGTGTCTCCTCGAGCACATGGGTGGCGCATAACGCCGTCGCCATATCCATGCGTCTCTCCGAACACGTGGTCGTCAACCCACGCCGTCGCCATATTTGCGTGTCCCCTCGAGCACATGGCTGGCGCATAACGCCGTCGCCATATCCACGCGTCTCTCCGAACACGTGGTCGTCAACCCACGCCGCCGCCATATCTGCGCGTCTCCTCGAGCACATGGCTGGCGCATAACGCCGTCGCCATACCCACGCGTCTCTTCGAACACGTGGTCGTCAGCCCACGCCGCCGCCATATTTACGTGTCTCTCCGAACACATGGTCGACAACCACGCCGCCACCGTATTTATACGATTACCCTGACCACGCACCCGGTATCGGAATCTCACCTTGTAACCATCGTACATAACGCAGTTAACATGCCCGCGCGTCCTTGCGTGTACATGACTACCGTAACCTCGTATCATAGCCGCCTCGTGTTTCACTAGCACGCGTTCATAAACTCCCACCATCGCTACCTCAAATATAGCTCGCGGGCGTCCGTAAACCATTCTATTCCTACCCCCCGAGTAAAAACGGTATATGGGTGTTCGCTAACCTTCGCTATTACGACAAAGAGGGTTGTATAGATAGAGGGGAAAAGCCAGCCACGAATGCGTGAGCTAATAAAAAGAGACAGAGAACGAGACGCCCATCAGCATCCTTGTTCAATCGCGCATGCGCTATAGATTTTCGCAGTCAAGTGGGGAGATCAGGATTTGAAGAGAGCAATATATCGGAGTGCGTTTCGTTTCCCGCATGCGTGCAATGCATCATTTAGCCTTGTTGCTCATCGAATGTTAAATAAAGATATATAATCCATTATGCATGAAACAGAGGAAAGGAGAGAAGGAGGAAAATGTTTATATTAGTAATAACAATACATTCCACATAAAGTTTTTTATTTATATAAACGCTTTTAAATAACAAAATTTGTAATGTTATAATAATAAAATATTCAAATAAAACATTTTATGTATTTCTGATATATATTCAATCTTTAAACTCTTATTTGTTATAAATTTAACATAAAATATGTAGAAAGTATACAACTTTTATCTATATTTTTGTCAGTTAATATATTATTATTGGCCACTGAAAATCGTTAGCTTATTATAATGCATTCTGATTCTTTTAGAATCATCTTTGGAGCGTTTACTTTCGTGTGTCAAACGAATATCAATATATTTTTGTATAATAAGAATAATCAATTGGTGTCGATGATCATACAAAGGCTCTTGATCTAAAGTATGACTATTGTTATCTAAAATTGTATTAGGAAGTAGTTGTAGTGTTTCTGTTATAAGCTTGTTATTTATATCTTTTAATAATAAATGAACATGTTGACGTATTATTTTCTCAGCACTCATACAAATAAAAATGACATCTTTGGAGGGAAAATGCAAGCCACCACGATTTTTTTAAATTGTTAATTTTGATTTATCACTGTCATCTTCTAACATGTCTCTACTTCACAAATTATTTTTTTCTTTAGTGAATGTACTATTGAACCAGCTATATGCTTCACGATTTCTTCAAGATAATCAGAAACATACCAGCCCGCATTTCCGCAATAATTGTGATCAAATAATATACTATGATTACTTTTCAAATAATTATAAACTGGAAAATTACTAATTTGTTTTTGTTGTGGGACTTTTTTTCTTTCTTTCGTATTATGAATTTCCGTATTAGTTTTTGAAATTGATGTATTTTTATTATTCGCTATTGTTTGTTTCATTTCGGTAATGTTAGTTACGTCTGAAATTAATAATGTATTGTCTTGCGGAATACAATTCGCTGAAGTAGACACTAAAACATTCATATTATTAACTAATAATTTGGTGTAAGCAGATTGATATTGCACTGTTGTTGGATTATTATTATAACCATTCATTCTTCTTATTAAAGCGAAAAACATTTCAACATGATCCTGAGATAGTTTATAACTTAAAACAAATTGAACAGTATTATTTTGTATCAAATCTGTACAAAGACTAAATAAGTTTTTTAAACAAATAATAAAGCCAAGAAATCCCGTTTTAACAGATTCGCTTTCAAGAACTGATTTACGATTTTTTTTTATTACTTGGTTACTATTAATTATAGAATTTTCTTTTTCTGTTGTCTTTATGTTATTGTTTTTTTCTCGCTACAGGCACATCAATTTCTAATTTTTCAATATAATCAATAAATCCATTAATTTTTATTTTGAATTGAGATAAGAAATCTTTGGTAATAGCTTGTCGTCCTGGCGTCTTACAAAATTTGTTTTTCACATTTAAAAAATCAAAACATCATTAATTGTTTGACAAAATTTCGCTGTAGATGAAGCTTTTTCAAAATTTTTATCTTTAATTTCGAATTCAAGGAAATGTAATGCATTTGATACGCTTGAACTTAATACTTGCGCCGCCAGTGAAACTTTCATTTTTTCGTTTTAAAAATAAACATGTCTGTCTCGTATTTTGCATGCACTGTGCAAGCCCTCACTAATTTGCTTATTGTGTAATTTTTTAATATATTCCCAACTAATACTTTCTTTTTTATCATATATTATAGGTCCTTTTAACGCAAAATAATTTCTCACTAACTTGAGCGTATATTTAAATTTCTCTCACAATTATACACTTTATAATACAATTATAGTATAAAGTACATTTCACATAAAAATAATTAATCATTAAAATACAATTGATTGAAATAGAAGTATGTACAATTTAAGTATTACAGTAAAAAGTTACATGAATTTTTCTATTACATAATAAGCGATTTTTGGCGATCATCTGATATATGTACCAAGGTTATTATTGGTAAGGGTGGAGCTTATTCTGGTACCTTGAGAATGTTCTGGTATACTTTGGTATACCTTGGTACATATACCAGACAATCACCAAAATCGCCTAAAATATGATTGAAATGTATGTTGAAACTGCACTGCAACGTATAATTACAAATTTACCTATAAACATTCAGCAGCCTCAGAAAACTGTTTCTTCTTCATGGTTTTGATTAGTTCTTTTATATTGTTACGTCCCTGATCTTTCATCCCCTGAATATCATCCCTTGTGTCGTGGAGCTTCATCGTTAAGGGGGGTTGTTTATTGACAACCGCCCGGTGGTTGTTTTCAGGCTCCATGACAGTTTTGGTCTAGCTGTCATCTCGTACGGACGTGACTTGACCAGAGAGCAATCTTCTTTCTTTCGCGTGTACATTAGTCATTGTATTTCATCATTGTATAAAGGATCATTTCTTCATAAGAGAGTGTATTTATTTCGCGAGCCGCGAGTGAGTGAGAGTGTGTGCGAGAGACGTCTTTTGCGAGAAAGAACGTCCGGAGGACGTAACATTTTGGGGGCTCGTCCGGGATCGGATCGAAGGAATATGAAAGGGTTCCCCTTCTTGAAATGCGAGAGATGCGACAGGAACAGACTCGTCGAGAGGACGAAATTGCGGCGATGCTGCGTCGTCACGACGAGGAACTTCTAGCTTTGAAGGAGATTCATTCCCGGCCACAAAATCTACAGCTAAGTCCTTCTAATAATAGAACGTGTGGAAATTCGGGTACGCATTTTTTTAAATGAGAGGGAGAACGATTTTCGCGCGATATTAGGGTACAAATTAAAACCTGATACTTATGACGGGACAGTATCACTTCGTGAATTTTTCTCGCAGTTTAACTTAATTGCTCAAGCGAATAGTTGGGATGATACAACAAAGACTGTTGCACTCGCTTCGAATTTGAGGGGAAAAGCGCGTTCAGTATTAGAGACGGTAGAAGACGTGTCCAATTTAGAATTCAACGAATTAAAATCAAAACTTGAATTGCGTTTTGGAGAGTTTAAAAATTCGGGGGGATGTTTTAATTTTTAAAAAATAGAATAAGTTACTGCGCATTTTATTTTTCGTTACAGAGTCTTCAATTTGGAAAGAAATTTGTCTTTGACCTGAGAAGAGTTTCCTGAATGGCGGAAAAATTGATCTCCCAGCTTAGTCTTCGAGGGAGAAAATCTTCATCCGTCTTTATTCTACTCTAAGAAGACTGTCTTGCCCGCGGTTTTTGATCCGTGGTTTTCCCGCGGGACTTTGGGCAAATGCCGAGACAGGGACTTGGGGAGTCCATGAGGGACGATGGGTCCACGGAAGATACCCCCCCTTGTCTGAACCGGAGGACGAAGGGAGACTGGGACTTATCTTCAAGGAATTTTGAAAGTCGATTGGGACCAAATTGACGGAGTCGCTCGGTAACCTGCGGCAGCAGCCCAGGGTAGGGCAGGAAGACTCGTCGGTGCCCTGGAATCGACAATTGATACAGTTGTACTGTGGACTTGGATTGGCGAATATAGTCCAACGGATGTGCGACGGGATCCAGAATGGCGGATTGTTTGGTAACCTGTGGCAGAAGCCCAGGGTAGAACAAGAAAATTCGTCGGAGTCCTGAGGTCGGCATCGGAATGCAGAGTTATTGTACAGCGTTGGATAGCCCTCTGTTTTTGATTGTCGGGACGACAATCTTGAAGAAGGGGGGCAGTGTTACGTCCCTGATCTTTCATCCCCTGAATATCATCCCTTGTGTCGTGGAGCTTCATCGTTAAGGGGGGTTGTTTATTGACAACCGCCCGGTGGTCGTTTTCAGGCTCCATGACAGTTTTGGTCTAGCTGTCATCTCGTACGGACGTGACTTGACCAGAGAGCAATCTTCTTTCTTTCGCGTGTACATTAGTCATTGTATTTCATCATTGTATAAAGGATCATTTCTTCATAAGAGAGTGTATTTATTTCGCGAGCCGCGAGTGAGTGAGAGTGTGTGCGAGAGACGTCTTTTGCGAGAAAGAACGTCCGGAGGACGTAACAATATTATTATTTATTTTTTCTTTCCTAAATAACTTCATATGGGAAGCAGATTTCTTCAATTTTTCAGAAGCCATAACTCTTACAAATCGCTCCCAAGCTTCATCTGAAGCGAAGTGCTCTCTTGAAAAAGACTCTAGCTGACTTCCGACCACAAAACAAATTTTTTTTGGGTGAATGTCGACAACAGATGATTTTCTAAACATCAATAATACAATTAATAATACAATTATTTTATAAAATATTAAGCTTAAAATATTTAGCAGTAAAAAATTTTACAAAAATTCTAATGTACCTTTTATTATTGTTTCTGGGACTTAATTAAATTATCATGTGTTTCAAAGTTGTCTCCGTTATTAGTATCCGTACTTGTTGAAAATGTATTTTCGTCACTTATTGTCATATCTTGATGATTCGTTATGTCACCAAGTGCTTGAGTAGATACGTTGTTAATTGGTAAAGATAATTGATTAGTGTTTCGATTAAAAGGGACAGCAGTTGATATTAAACGTCTCAAAGTTGTATATCCATCAGTCTGATAAAATGATTCTTCATAGAAGTGGTCGCTACATATACTGGCTGACTTACAAACTGTTGTCACACCAATAGCTTCCATCCACTTCTTTTTTAATTCAACATTAACGGGAAACTGTAATTCAAAATTAAATATAGTTAAAATCGGAGGTGGAGCAGCTAATCTGAATAAATACCAAATATAGAATAATATTTGGCATTTTCATATGAATTTTAGGTTAAGGTATTTTGATAATACACACTTCAAATAATAAATTTATCAATATTTAATAAACTTACTTGTAAAAACTTCGAGATATATTAAACGGAATAGGTTGCTTTTTACACACAATACACGTTCTTGTCATTTTTCTTTATGATTGTGTCACAGCGCGTCAATTTAATTTCTCCTCTTCTTTATTTATCTGACTGAATCCGAATAAATGCATAAAATTATATGCAAGATTAATAAATTCTTAGCTACAACACCATATTGTAGGTTAAAGAAAAACCCCCTCAGTAGTCTCAACGATACCTCCCCACTCAACTCCATTCAGCTTGATGCGCGCGCAACGTTAGACAAGGATAAAGATGGGCGTCTCATATTCTTTCTCTTTCTATTGCCTCACGTTTTCTACTTACAGGAGTCCCATGCCTATTACACACCTTGTATTACGACTTCTGTCCGGACACGTAAGCGACCATAACCTCGCAGAACAAAGTGCGTTCGTAAACTATTTTATCACCACCTCCAGTAGTAAAAGTCTACAGATACTCGGAACTCACCTTGCCGCCACCTGGGATGCCACGAACACGTGGTCCTCCTCGACTCCCACTACCTTTGCTCCACGATCCGCGCATGATGCCCCGCGAGTTCATTGCCAGTAGTTACGCGAATCACTGTGCGATGTTCAGATAATGTGTCCCCGAACTCCTAGCTCTAATAACTCGGGTCCCGACCTCCTATCCCTGTCCTATACCGAATGGGTAGTATCCGCTCGTTGTACTATAGCCATATTTCGTAGACATCTCACCTCGCGCGCAGTCGTTTGCGATCATTGTTTTATTAACCTGGGACCCCCGCAACAGAACCTACACGAGCGCGTAGTACGTCATTACATCACTCTGAGAGACGATTCGCGTTTCGAGAAGTGTGCCTTCTGCCTCCGAGTCCTGGTAGGAACTGTCGCTGTGCGCGACGCTATCTGCGGAATTTGCCCTAAGGCCCTGAGCGGTTTCCTTTCGTACCTCGCCCGTCGCAAGGAAGCCTCTCATAACGATCCGGAACCGACTTTCAATATAATTCGGGAATTTCGGGTTTAGACCCTTGTCAAAAAATTTCTCGCCACTCATGGTCTTCGGGATCACGTGGGTAGACTCGCCGCCCATCGCCCCTAAAACGTAATAAATAAAATAAAATCGAGAAAAGACCTGTAAATTCCTTATCTTGATTTCCATAAACTTTTTGTAACTAAGTAAATAACGCCCTAGATTAAATTTTTTCTGTATCTAAGTAAATATTACTCTATAAATAAAATAAAATAAAATAAAATTGTAAATTCCTGCTAGAATGCTCGTAAACTAATCGCAGCTATTTTATATTACGTTAAAAAAAATCAGGCCATGTTCTGGGAAAAGAGGCGTTCTCATCCTTTTTTTGTTTTAATAAACTTAAACATTATAAAACTGAGAAATTTCCCACTCCGTAAGGAGGTGTTCTTCAAACGTATAAATACGGCTCTTGAGGTTAAGTTAGTTAGTTACATTTTTGAATTTCGTCTCTCGCGTACTCACGTATTTAACGCAAGTGTACCATTAAATTTCAATAATGAGTTTGAAAAAAGTAGTTGAAATTTGTCTATCACTAGCGCAGAGTTTATGCGGGAAAAATTTTTCCAGGCATATATATAAATTAGCATGCGCGAGTGAAAAGAAATGCTTCAATATTTTTAGGAAATTTGCGGGGAATGTCCCAGCGCTGTACTAGCGGTATTATTCCGACTAGGATATTTTAGTGTTTTTCGCGAATTACTGATTATCGCGGGAGAGGTGATCGAGTCGCGATACTATTTCGGTAATGAGAAGGAAAACGATACAGCAGACCACATAGAATATCTCCTCCTACATTTTCATCGAGTTCTGCGGGGAGAAGATAATAATAGTGATATAAGAGTTTTAACAAGGCTCCGTAATATAAATATAAATTTAACGTATAAGACGGGCAACAAGAGCCAAATCGCGGATGACAATGCGTTATCCTAACGAAACTAAATAATTTTCCGTTAGAATTAAATACCGGTGCACAAGGCACCAAATTTTACTTGGACACGGCCAAGATTTTAAAATATGAAATAATCTCATATTTGAGATTTAATTTCAATACCCCCTTTAACCCCCCCCCCCCCCCCCACGGAAAATAAATAAATGAATGCAAGAGAAAAATATAGATCCGTGGGGGGGGGGGGGGTTAAAGGGGGTATTGAAATTAAATCTCAAATATGAGATTATTTCATATTTTAAAATCTTGGCCGTGTCCAAGTAAAATTTGGTGCCTTGTGCACCGGTATTTAATTCTAACGGAAAATTATTTAGTTTCGTTAGGATAACGCATTGTCATCCGCGATTTGGCTCTTGTTGCCCGTCTTATACGTTAAATTTATATTTATATTACGGAGCCTTGTTAAAACTCTTATATTGATACACGCTGGCTTAAAAATGCGTTTGTTTACCAACATTAATATATATAACAGAGAAAAGTATAGAATCGAAAGGATCTGAATAGCTCAGCTGGAAGAGCAGTCGCCCGGCAAGCGAAAGGTCTCGGGTTCGATTCCCGATTCAGCGATTTTCGGATCTATATTTTTCTCTTGCATTCATTTATTTATTTTCCGTGGGGGGGGGGGGGGTTAAAGGGGGTATTGAAATTAAATCTCAAATATGAGATTATTTCATATTTTAAAATCTTGGCCGTGTCCAAGTAAAATTTGGTGCCTTGTGCACCGGTATTTAATTCTAACGGAAAATTATTTAGTTTCGTTAGGATAACGCATTGTCATCCGCGATTTGGCTCTTGTTGCCCGTCTTATACGTTAAATTTATATTTATATTACGGAGCCTTGTTAAAACTCTTATATTGATACACGCTGGCTTAAAAATGCGTTTGTTTACCAACATTAATATATATAACAGAGAAAAGTATAGAATCGAAAGGATCTGAATAGCTCAGCTGGAAGAGCAGTCGCCCGGCAAGCGAAAGGTCTCGGGTTCGATTCCCGATTCAGCGATTTTCGGATCTATATTTTTCTCTTGCATTCATTTATTTATTTTCCGTGGGGGGGGGGGGGGGGTTAAAGGGGGTATTGAAATTAAATCTCAAATATGAGATTATTTCATATTTTAAAATCTTGGCCGTGTCCAAGTAAAATTTGGTGCCTTGTGCACCGGTATTTAATTCTAACGGAAAATTATTTAGTTTCGTTAGGATAACGCATTGTCATCCGCGATTTGGCTCTTGTTGCCCGTCTTATACGTTAAATTTATATTTATATTACGGAGCCTTGTTAAAACTCTTATATTGATACACGCTGGCTTAAAAATGCGTTTGTTTACCAACATTAATATATATAACAGAGAAAGTATAGAATCGAAAGGATCTGAATAGCTCAGCTGGAAGAGCAGTCGCCCGGCAAGCGAAAGGTCTCGGGTTCGATTCCCGATTCAGCGATTTTCGGATCTATATTTTTCTCTTGCATTCATTTATTTATTTTCCGTGGGGGGGGGGGGGGTTAAAGGGGTATTGAAATTAAATCTCAAATATGAGATTATTTCATATTTTAAAATCTTGGCCGTGTCCAAGTAAAATTTGGTGCCTTGTGCACCGGTATTTAATTCTAACGGAAAATTATTTAGTTTCGTTAGGATAACGCATTGTCATCCGCGATTTGGCTCTTGTTGCCCGTCTTATACGTTAAAAATAATAATAGTGAGTTTTTATTTTTATTACACTTAATTATAAATAAATTAATTGAAACTACCTCAATTATTTATTTATTTAATTTGCTAAAACTTTAGCTATCGTACGTCCTGTCGCACACGTCACAAGAAACCGGTTACGTGTACTGGAAAATCGCCCCGTATCACTAAGATTAAAGCTAAATAGAAAACGAGCGAATTCTTCGCCGGAACCCGGACCTTCGCGTAAGTTTTTAACATCATAAATTATATCGTGTTGTTAGAAAACATAATATTAAACAAGAAATTTTGTAATAAAAATGTTATACGTTCCAGGCCGTGCACGCATCGTGTTAACGCCGGAGCTGGAACATCCGGTTATTGATTTAGCCGAAAGTGACAATGACGTGAAAGAAGTGCGGGTTCGCGAAGTAAGTCCGTTCGATGAGGCGGACATATTTACTCCGCTTGAAAGTAAGTAAGAAAAATACTACAGTGGTATATCAACACAAAAGATTTTTTAATTATGTGAAATACTAATAATATATGATTGATGAATATTAGATGACGTGGCGAATGAAAACGTGGTCGTAGAGGAACGAGAACAGAGGAGGAAATCGACGAGGAAATAAACTTGATTTCAGAAAATAAAGAGGAGGTAGAGGAGGGGGTGGAGGAGGAGGAGAAGGTTGAGAAGGAGGAGGAGGAAGAGGAAAAGGAAGATGAAGAGTTGGAAGAAGAAATAGAGCAAACGGAAGATGAAGGAGAAGAGCCGGAAGATCAAGAAGAACAAACGGGAGATAAAGAAGAAGAAGTGAGAGATGAAAATAATGCTACGTTTTCTAAAGAAGAAAAAAATAGCGGGGTGATGGCTGAGGAAGGTAATAATTGCATATTTTATATTTAATCTTTCCCTACGTTTAAATTTTTTGTTTATTTTAATTAAATAAAATGTTATTAGGAATTTCTTTCTCTCCTAACATTGTTCCCGAAGTTTCATATTCACCGGAGTATTAATCCTCGCAGGGTGATACAAATGGCCCGGCAAACGAATATTAAAACGTAAGTGAACTTAACATAATTATTAATAACAACAATTTCACATTATTAATAAAAATTCAAACGTAAGAGAGTAATATTTTATTAAGTATTTTATTTCGTTAATATAATTTTTTATTT